TTTATTTATATATATATATATATATATATATATATATATATATATATATATATATATATATATAATCAGGAACAATATCTAGAACAATCCATCTCTCCTCCATTAAAAATTCGTACTAATATTTAAAAAAAAATACACTTGATGTGCACCTAATAAATTCCTTTTTATGATCATCAAAATAACATATGCGTACAATACGACAGCGTCTCTATGGGTTTCGTTATTGGACTAACATTTAGCAAGTACTACATGACTAACCTAGAAAATAATATACTTTATACCACAAAAAAAAACCATTTATCTAAGATATGTAGATGACTTTCTCATTTTAGTCAAAGACATAAATGAAATATATGAATTATAAAAAAAAAACTTCTTAAAAAAACTTACTTAAGTACACGTATGAACAGGGACAAAAAATCTCTTTTCTCGATGTATTGATCACAATAATAATAATAATAATAATAATAATAATAATAATAATACACTTACTACTTCTCCATATAAAAACAACTAATATAAACAGGTGCACTCTTAACTCTAGAAGTGAATGTCCTAATTATTACAAAATAGCTATTATACCAAACTCAATAAACCGTGTAAAATCAAATTTCCCAACAAAAAGGATTTTCTATACTAAATTAAAAAGTTATTAAACAAAACCCTCATTAATAATGACTTTCCTAATTACGTCTTTGATGAACAAATTAGACAAGCTATTAGGAATATTAACATAAATGAAAGTAAATACATCATCGAATAACTCTAAACATATCAAATTACTACACAGTAATCAAATGCTTTCTAAATATAAGCAGGAAGAAACAATTCTAAAAAGATTCATAAACACTACTATATCCCCCCCCTGGATCCAAATAAAAAACTGAGGTTGGTTGTATACTATAATAAATTTAATACAACCAATCTAGTTGGCAAAAAAAAATTCTTCTCCGTCAGCTAGCATCATGGGTTGACCTCAAAGTACTTGAGCTTCCGGATGATGGAAAACTTCACAAATCGTCTACAACAGTGTACGAAGAATAGAGGTCAACGTTTGGAGGATGTCATTTTAAAACGAAATGAATAGAAACTGTGGGCCTTTGTTTAAACTGCAGTGAAATAATGTTTTTATTAGCAGTTACTTTGGTCGTTTTGTCAATCTTTAAATTGTGGTAAGTACTTCTACCGCTCTTTGTATTTCTAAATAAATTCGCAGTGAACAGTCGACCTACAACAACTAAAAGTCCTAAACTAGTGATGTGTGAAAATGAAAAATATATATATATATATATATATATATATATATATATATATATATGTATATATATATATATATATATATATATATATATATATATATATATATATATATATATATATATATATATGTATATATATATATATATATGTATGTATGTATGTATATATATATATATATATATATATATATATATATATATATATATATATATATGTATATATATATATATATATATATATGTATGTATATATATATATATATATATATATATATATATATATATATATATATATATATATATATATATATATATATATATATATATATATATATATATATTTTTTGAATAAAAAGACAGACCACGTTAAGATTCCATGTAATAAGCTTATTTCACCATAACCCCTTTAACAGGGTTCTGGATCATCAGACTTTACTTCCAAAAGCTGAAATGAAAAATGAAAAGAAATTCACACGTTTTTTACGGACCTCATCAAGTATACGCAAAGTTAACGAAGTGAGGAAGTGAGGTGGGAGAGAGGATATGAGTGTGTCATATGTATCATTTTAGTTTCCTATTTTAACCCCAGTGTGTCGGCTGGATGTTGCTCAAATTTAACGCGTCTCGTCTCTAGATAAAGGTGGTTAAGGGGTGAGCGATAAGAACTACCTTAAAGGGGGACGTTCCAACAACCCCAATAAATTACACGACAATTTTTTGTATTTCTTGAGCTACCTGGAATCCCTTCAATAAGTCTATTGGAATCTTTTCCAACCAATTGAGGGATCCATATGCTACATTTTTGAGATTTCGATTTCAAGGACATTCAAAGATACATTGCAGTCCGCAGAGATTGCCATATTATTAAGGAGGCAATTTCTTTGTTTGCTGTCCCTAATAACGATGTCTGGGCAGTTAACTTTGATTGTTCTGTCTGTGTATTATTATCATTATTATTATTGAACCTGGGAACATCAGCAATTAAGAGGTGGTTCCACGCTGCTCAAAACCTCCTGATCAGACCCCTTGCTGTTGGACGTAGTTTATCGTCTTACCCAGGACGCAGATGTAGTTTATCGTCATACCTACGACGGGCCTTTTCTGGATGATTAAGTTTCAGTTTATTCTCCTTTAGTAATTCAACTCCCCAAGCTTATGTTCCCTTTGCCGTAAGTTGGTATTGAACTCATAACGCTTTGGGTCGAGTCATTTTGTAAATTACTTCAACCAACACTTCTATTCATTGGGCCATGCGTCATCTTGTCATCCAGAACAGGCTCCGCACGTGGAATTAGAACAGTCTTCCTCTGTGGACTAAATAAATTGTTTGGCTTGAAAAACCAACGTATATCATCTGAAGAAGGCCGGAGCATACAACGTCCGAAATGTCGTGAATATGGCAATAATGGTGAGGAAAATAACGTAAATAGCGTAAATATCTATTAATTCCTTTTGATTTTGGTTCTAAACGACATATATTGAAGAGTAAAAAACAAATATGGTCCGATAATAAGTGAAATCAGCCCACTTTACCTAACAAATAAGATATTCTGTTATTATTATTATTATTATTATTATTATTATTATTATTTTTTATTTGATTTCTGGCGTTTACACATTTCTTTCCGGGTCCCGCCCAGGGACCTAAGGTTAGAAATGGCGTCATGACACTTTCCACTGACAAAAAAAATTTTTTATTTAAATTACATAGATAAAGCCCTTCGTAAAGTGTGGGCTGTACTTGTCAGAACAATTTTTTTATCTCCTTGAGGCATTAGTCTACTGGAATCTTTTCCAACCAGTCCTAGGGCTTCAACTACAACAGGGATTGTTAATGTTCCCATATGCCACATTTTCGAGATTTCTATTTCAAGGTCCTTGTACTTTGACAACTTTTTGAATATCTTCAAAGATACATTGCAGTCAGCAAGGAGTGCCATATCAATAAGGAGGCACCGTTTTTGCTTGTGGTCTTTAATAACAATATCTGGGCGGTTGGCTTTGATTGTTCTGTCAGTGTGTATTGTGTAGTCCCATAGAATTGTAACAGGTCCTATCTCCGTAACCGGGTCTGGGTGGTGTTCATACCATTTTCTTTCAGTTTTCTTCCCGTAGAAGTTGCAGATTTTCCAGTGCAGATATTGGCCCACTCTGTCATGTCGGGTTTTATATTCAGTGGGTGCCAACACCGTACAACCTGATACATGATCAATCGTTTCTGGATATTTATCACAGAATCTGCATTTTGGGCTGACACAATATTTTAGTATATGTACTTGATAATTCCTAGTTAGCAAGCATAGGTCCTGTGCAGCAAGGATAAAACCTTCAGTTTCAGCTTTCAACCCTTCACTACGTAGCCACTGATGGGTACGGGTTTTGTCTACGTCAGTTTGTTTGGTACGGGCAGAGTATTGGCCATGAAGCGGTTTATCTTGCCATCGCTTCTGTATCTGGTCGGTTGCATTCGTCTTTGATAATTTTTATTATTATTATTATTATTATTATTATTATTATTATTAATATTATTAAACAAACAAAATGGTTGACGTAACACTTCCAATATTTTCCAACAGTTAAGAGAAGAGCGCGAATTAAAAAAAGAAAAAGAAAAGAAAAAACACTGACAATGTTAAACAATATTTCGACAGTGTGTCTGCCTTCTTCAAGGTTTTGTTTTTAATCTTTCAAGTATAAAAATATATAACTCTACAAAAACTTATAAATCTTTATACAGACGTTGCTTGTCTTGTAATGAAAAAACAGCTGTCCTGATAATAAACGCTTCAAAATGAATGAAACGCCGTCAGCGTGAAGGCATGACACAGAAACGTGCTTAATATGATGGTGATCTTGCTCATCTAGTTGATTAGTTACTAAGATGAATTAATCAATCAGTTTAGTATAAATCTTATGGAACTCTCCTGGGCCGGGAAGTTAGTAATTGGCTTACGTAATGTTCCTCATGCGTTTTAAGGGTCGAAAGTTCAATAGATACTGAATAATTTTTTTCAGAACTTGCTCCTTAAGATGCTTGTCATAATTACAGTGGTTTGTACGTCACATTGTTGTATCTGATATCATATGTGTGACCAATGAACCATTATTTTTTCCGTTGTGCAACCCACATAAATCAAGCCATGTTTGGTACATTGTACAGTGTATATAAATGGCAATCAGTACAATTATTATTATTATTATTATTATTATTATTATTATTATTAATATTATTATTATTAACAGTATTTTAAAAGAAATTATCATATCAAAGTACAGATGAACTAAAGACAACGGAAAAATAAATAAACTAGACATTCGTTGCCCAGACCGACATTGGCCTGAATTCGAGGATAAAATAAAAATGGTGGGTGGTAAATCCGGGGAATTTAGTAAGTGTATCTGCCAAAATGATAATGAATGAGGCCAAGAGATTAGCAGAAGAGTAAAAGATTCAGACCTTTGCAGAATCAGAAGGTTAGTGTTACTGATTTATGAAATGGCAAGGTTTATCAAAAAATACAGAAGCAGTCAATGCAAAGAAACAGCCAACTGTTTATGAAGAATGTTTTCGATAAATATACCCTGCTGAAAAATGGAAGGGCATCTAATATGACGCACGTTATATATGCTGTATTTAAGGGTTTTTTAATCACATTTAAACTAATTTTATAAGGGCACGCTTTCAGATCTGTAGAATTAATTATATATATATATATATATATATATATATATATATATTCAATGTACATAATTTCCACAATTGATTATTTCCCTGGGATCAATCAACATTATCCATTTATTTCTTATTCCCCCCCTCTCTCTCTCTATCTATCTCTCCCTCACTTTCTCTCTCTCTCTCACTCATTCTTTCCCACTCTCAATCTCTTTCTCTCTCACTCACTCTCTCTAACTCTCTTTCTTTCACCCTCTCACTCTCTCTCCACACTCTCTTTCTCTCCCTCCCCTCTTTCTATCTCCTCTCACTCTCACTCTCTCTCCTCTCTCTCTAACTCCTCTCCTCCTCTCTCCCTACACACACTCTCTCTCTCCCTTTCTCCTTTCTCTCTCTCTCTCTCTCACTCATTCTTTCCCAATCTCACTCTCTTTCTCTCTCACTCACTCTTTCTCACTCTCACTTTCACTCCCTCTCACTCTCTAACTCTCACCCTCTCACTCTCTCTCACTCTCCCTACACACACACACTCTCTCTCTTTCTCTCTCTCTCCCTACACACACACACTCTCTCTTTTTCTCTCTTTCCAGCGGGCTTTTTCTCTACGTAGATGTGTAGTTAAGTACTGCCTCTGACTGTTAATGATTGTTACAGTTGCTTATTTTTCCTTTGATGATTGACAAAACTTTTTTTAATTATTTCACCCCAGGCAAGATAATAAAGCCACTAAGACGCAAGTGCTTACTGAGTGTGAGAGAACAGGAGAAAAAAAAAACCTTATTAAGGAGAGAGAACAATAAAAGAACAGGAATTAAGAAAACAAAGAAAGTAACGATTGAGATTTAATTTAAATTGTGGAAGATTATAATTGACTGGAAAGCAAGAGAGAAGTACAAGAGAAGAAATTGTTAGCATAGAACTTACGGTTGCATCTAGCTGTTTCAATTGTAAAATGATGAGACCTAACCACCAAATTAATCAGTCAGTTAAGTACCATACTGTTGGGGCGCACCCACCTTCTAACTAGTAATGGACTGGTCCCTCTTATATAAGTCAGCTCTGGGGGGGGCGTCCTGAGAGGTAAATGGGCTATTTTTTATAGGGTTCCCAATGTCCAGATAAGCTTACCCGGTACATACCGTTGGACTATAGACTTTGGATATTGTTTCGTACTAACCAACCTTCGTTCTACTAATCACTCTATTGTTAATTGCTTTTACAAATATACCAGTATTTTCCTCTACAACTGTGTTTGTCTTGATTCATACACCGACACGCGGGAAACTCACAACATCTCAACACATACGTTATACACGCTTGGACGATTATGACAAGGCAGATATTTTCCCCGCAGTAGGTTGCCATTTCTTTCTGCAAACCAAGGCAAAAGGACCCAGTCCTGCTATTAAACCCATAGCTGGGGGGGAGAATATATGGATTCATACCTTTCCCATATTTGTGCGT